TCTAGTGCCATGTCGAATTAGATATTACTTTGAATCTATCGAAAAACTAAATCAACCGATAATAATTTTTTTAGGAAAAAATCATTTTTCTTGTTAAAAATTTTAAAATATCCTCAAGCTGTGTTTTATTTGATTCTCTCTCTAGAGAGAGGGAAGAGATATTTATTTATATTAGTGTAAAATTAAATGAGTATTATATATAAAATATTATATTAATAATATTTTAACAATTCAATTGTTAAATTTCGTAATATTTATGTTAAGTGTAAATTACGCAATGGTCACTGATGTTTGAGTAATTTTTTGTTTTCACCACTGATGTTTCAAAAGTTACAAATTGGTTACTAACGTCATCATATGTTACAAATTGGTCACTCGTCGTTAACAGCCGTTAATGAGAGTGGCATAATACACGGCTAGACATTTTAAAGCTTACTTGGAATGGTTTGACCGCCACATGGAGTGTCAAATGTTAAAAGCAATATCATGGGTTGTTGCTTCATCTTCTTCCTTGCTTTACCATGGGTTGTTGCTTCAGCTTCGACTCCCCTCTAACCCCATTCCCCTCGCTTTCCTTCTTACTGTTTCATATTTTTTCATTTCTCTTTTCATTGTTAATCAATATGATTTAGTAAATGTTGATTCTTCTTTGTTTCTACTGCAGAAAAAGAATGGAAGCAAAGAAGACTTGGATGGAGAAAAGAAGGAAAAGAGATCCTCAACTATTGTTCTTAAGTTCGATTGCTTTTGTGAAGGTTGAGCAACCAAAATCTTCACAACACACATTCAAGATTTTGAAGGTACAATCAACATGTACGTTTAAGATTCCCATTTTTCTTTTGAGTTTTCCTTATTTCTCGTCTTCATTTCTTCATTATGTTTTTGTTAACTCCATGATAGTTGATGTCTCGTTGAGTTTTAATTGATGATGATGACTGTGAATCCTGCTACCATGAAAGGGAAGCTCGTGAAGAAAACTATGATTTATTAACTCCATGGTTGGGTCCAGTATTTGGGTTATGCAAACTGGTCGAAGCGCAAGGATACAAGGGAGTTGATGTCTATTTATCGAAGTATGCTTCCATCATCTTGTTGCATCAATGTTTTGGTCCAGTATTTGGCCAGTCTCTGATAATAAAGTTGGCATCTAGAGGGAAGCCAAACTTTTTTTTAGAACCCATCTGTAAATTTTCTTTCCATGTTTTTCATGATGATTATGACGAAGAAGACAACCCAAGGAGCATAGGACCGATGCCTTTATGATTGTCCGTGGTGATCTTGGAATGGAAATTTCGGTTAAGAGCAATATAATGGGTTGTTGCTTCATCTTCTTCCTCTTTCTCACCTTCTACATCGGCGAAATTTCGATTGAGAACAATAACATGGATTGTTGCTTCATCTTCTTCCTCACTTTAGCATGGGTTTGTTGCTTCATCTTCTTCTTCTCTCTCACCTTCTACATCGGCGAAATTATGAGAATTTAATAACCTATGTGGCAGTCAACCCAGTCCAAGTAAGTTTTAAACAGTACAGCTGTGTATTATGCCACTCTCGTTACGGCGGTTAACAACGAGTGACCAATTTGTAACAAAACTATAACGTTAGTGACTGATTTGTGACTTTTGAAACATCAGTAGTGAAAACAGAAACTTACTCAAACATTAGTGACCATTTTCATAGTTTACCCTTATGTTAATCAAAATATATTAGCAGTATACAATTTTAATTTTTATAAACATATTTAAAACGTTATTTTGTGTTTTTAAATTATATTTAATAAAATAATACAAGTAAATTCTAACACTAATCAACCAATTATTATATTAAAGTAAATTATAACATTAATCAATCAACTGCTAGTGTGTTTCTATTTTGATTATTGAATTCTAAAAACTTTTAGTTGTGTAGTAACACTATTGATATGACCTTTTTAAATTTGAATAATAATATATTTAATTTATAGTAGTTTCATATTTCATTAGTTTAATCATATATTTAAATAATTTAATAAATTTAATCTTCTATGTTTATAAATCCTACAATTTAGTCCTCAAACACATAATAATCATCGCCATCCTAACAACCCACTATATACCTAAGCAACATTACTCATCGTGATACCTATACATCTTCAATTCATCAATAATCCTTCACCTCTATTGGAGTGAGATTGATTTCATTCGATTGATTTTTTTTAGACTTATCAATTTTAATTTGGTTCGATTCGATATTTGTATATTAATACTAATTTTTATATCTTTTACTTCATTTTAATAGAATAGTTTTATTTATATTTTTTTGACGTGATTAAATTTAAAAACAAAATTTGTAATATTTCTTAGCGTTGATACCAGTAGGTAACGATAAATATTGAAATCAATGATAACCTAAGGCAAAACTAGAAAATCAGACCTAACCCTCTTCATTTACCATATCTTCGTAATTTTTTATTTATATTTAAATAATAAGCTTTACTTTAAACGTATACATTAAAAATATACTTTTTTTAAGCACGTAATAATCAGTGTAAGGACATGTATGGGGATAGCTCAGTTGGGAGAACATCAGGCTAAAGATCTTCGTAATTTTTCATTGGTGGCATATCAGGAAAAGAAGTGACTTTAGGTGATCCAGGGCTTGGACCTAACTAGTCAATGAGGAGAATAAGCAGGCAGCAGGGACATAAAATGACACTACAGCCTCTTCTCTTAAATAATGGAACAAATGGAAAGGATTACCATCATTACTGTTCCTGTCTTCAGGGACCCCACTCGCCTTATTGTTCTGGCAGGACCCAGTTCTTCAACCAAATGTTTTACGGTAGGAATGAATTTTGTATTGTACAACACAATAAAACTAACATTATCCTGCCCAGTTCTCTGTTTTTAGAGCAGTAAAATGGTTAAAAAAAACCGTCAAAAAGCAAGCAGCGTATAAAATAGAGGTGAGATATCATACCCCATTCTGTTGTGTAAATAAACTGTCAACAAAAATTCATGTGTGAGGATAACTCAATTGGAAGAGCGTCAGACTAAGATCAGAGGGGTTTAACAATACTCTATTGATATGAAACATAAAAATCATATATAAACTTCAATCCAATTTACTGAAACATAACGAGAGCATTAGTATTAGCAATGTGAAAACAATCCCGTGCAATAAGAAGCTTTAATTGGAAATTCAACGAGGTTGAATAAAAAAAATATTTCAAAGAGGCTCGTATTTAACCTCAGTCGTAGCGTAGGTTGTCAACAGTTTGTATTCCTTATTTCTCAATTAATTTTTCATATCATATATTTATTCTTTTTTTTTCAGTTTCTGATAATTCTATATTTATAACACTTTTTTGTCGCTAGACCTTTCTTATGTAATTTTTTTATGGTTCGATTTGATGTCGTCTCGACCGATCGAGATAGTGCTTATTTATTATCCTATTAATCTTCTCTACTTTAGAACCTCATATTGGACTTTGATACACGGTTTGCGTTCGTAGATAGTTTTTTCATGACATCCGAATCTGATTTGTAGTTGTCAATGGCCTTTCGATAGATTAATCGGTCTCTGTTATAGTTTGTTTATCAATATAGTTAGATTTGTTCGTATCTATCTTATGTTCGAAAGTTTTAAATGAGATTATATTATGAATAACAATAATAAAAAATATTAATGTTTAAATTGTTAAATGAATAAACGAAAGATACTCATTGTTTGTATAAAAAATTATTTGAATTTAATCAAGATACCTTCATTTTAATTTGTATTTGTATTATTTTAATTTTAAATAGTTTTATTTATTTTTAAATTTATTTTGTATTCATATTATTTTATTAATATTTTTTCTTTCTCGGTTCTAAGGCTTCGTCTTGACTAATCCGGACCGACTCGTGTCGTATATCTGATTATGGTAGATAAATCTTCCTACATAAATTTTTTACATATACAATAACTCAAATTTGAGATCTTACTTCACTGATATTTTAATATCATATTTTAACCATTTCATAATTTATTATATTTTATAAATAAAAAGAAAACAATAATTACAAGCACACTAATCTATTAACCGTGCTGATGTGGAATGTCTAGTATACATTTACGGAATGTATTGTTGCGGAGACAATGCTAGTTGACTTTAGTGTCCTTGAAGGATCCGAATTTTATTCATATTATGGTTGTAGTGAATTTATATATATTTTGAGTGTATTCGTACTTATATTAATAATATAAAATTTATGTTTATGAGTAAATATAAATAGAATGAGTTAAGAAAATCAATAAAATAAATAATTAATTAAAACAGATTTAAATTTTAGAGTGAATAAACATATATTATTATGTCATGATCTCTTTGTTATTCGACGTGCTCTAATTACTTCATTCAACTTCAATTGATTCGACAAATTTTGTTAATTATACAATTTATTTTTCAGCATCATTAGATCCTTAATTTAGTCATTATATGACATTTTGATACCATAATCTATGTTTTACGTAGTTTACGAATATTACTCTTTTTCTCAATACATTTTATAAAACATGTTATAAGACAAAGAGATAAAATCTTAAATATTTTAAGGTAGTAATATCCCAATCACGCAATTATAAAATCTCTCAATAATACTCTAATTAATAAAGAATTAAACATAATAATTTTATTTTAAAGAGTTTTCTATTAAGATAAATAATAAATTACGATTTAAGAATTATGAAAATTTATATTATATTTTGATGTAGAGAGTTTCATCAAAGTCTTACATTGTTATTAACAATTATATTTGTAATTGATTTTATTTTGCATTAACCAATTTTTTTTATGAAAAAAAGTTTTTATATTAAGAATTTACTTTCGACATAATGACTAATGCTCACAGAGTTTAATTATTAATTTATTAGTCAGCGAATTAATAATGTCTCTTTCTTTCTTTATTATAATTATTTTAATTAAAGGCTAAAGCAATGACGTGAGGGAATAAAAAGGGGGAAAGGGGGTGCAATTAGTGAAGAAAGTTTGGAGACCTTCAAAAATTGACGAAGATGGTGTTGGCAAACAAGGAAATGGTTAATCGGGCTAAGAGATATTTGGGATTCTATCCGTATCAATAGGGAGAAAGTTCTTTGGCACAATCTTATTTAGTTTCTAATGTACATTTCTAAATTCAGTTTGATTGCTTGGATGTCTTTGTTAAACAGATTACCAACTAGAGATCGACTACTCAAAATGAGAATTTCAACTGATGGGTCATGTGTTAACTGCAGAGACGAACAAGAGACAAGAAACCATATTTTCTACCATTGCAACCTCGCAGTTCGTCTTTGGAACTCCGTCCTTTCGCTTAATGGTATGAATAATACCTCCTATACTTGGGAAGAAATGGTTAATCGGGCTTCTTCAACTTGGAAAGGGAAATCCTTACTCATCACAATTCTGAAGATTTCTTGAACAACCTATATTTACACATTGTGGGAGAAAAGGAATCACAGAATCTTCAAAGGCCGTCACAGATCTACAGACGATTTGCTCAAAGTTATTATTGAGGTTGTGCGAATCCAACTTAAAGGAAAAAATATAAATAGAGTTAATAGAATTAATTCAAACCTTTGTATTGCTTGAGATATTACTTAATCAATCTTTTTATGTAATAGCAACGTATAATTCTTTTGTATTGATTGGTTAATTGTATTTTATAGCAGAACACTGTTATTTGGATAATAAAATTTAATTTATCCAAAAAAAAAAAAAAAAAAAAACAAGGAAATGGTGGTCTACTGCTTCGACACTTTGCTCGCCCATTATAAAAGCGAAGAGGCTGCTCCGCCTGCCTTCGACGAGGGCCAACAGTAATTTCTTCTCTCCGATTCTTTGTTTTTTTAATCCTCTTGTTATTTCTATCCAAGTTCCCTGCTTTCTTCTCTTTCATAATGATGAGTTGGATGCTGATTGTTTTTATTTTCTCCTTTTTTTTGTTCTTGGTATTAGTTTTTTGTTCTTTTGAAAACGAAAATTATTGGTAGAAGTTGGGAATTCAATATTCTGTCATTGTTGTTTTTGGATCTTAAAAAATCAGTATGTGTTAATGTTTTGGTCAACAACACAAATCAAGGTTGTCAGCTCAAAATCTGTGTCTGGTTTTAAATTTTAAGCAGTTTGGTTCCTGTAAGAATAACAATCTTATAAAAAAAATTATTTGGTTTATTCGACTATTTATTTTCCTTTTAAGTATCTGTGTCGATCCCACCGATATGATTCACCTGAACACTCCATATATGTGAAAATATTTGAAACAAAGTTGAATATATCAGTGTTGGACGATTACGCATGTCCAAGTTCGATTAATATACGCGAATAACAAGTCTTATCGCTGCAATGTTGTGAATTCCATACTTCGTTTTCGTCAAAAGCTGACTTTACACTAACTATATGCGTAAAAGAAAATTGATATATCCTCCATCCCTTATGTTCATGACCTAAATTAGAATTAGTTCCTTCAAAAAAATTATTGAATAAGGGTTTTTGAATGCAAGCACACATTATGCAATCAATTTCAATAAAGTTGTTAGTTGAGTTGAGCTTCTCAATGCTCTTTATATTAGAGCCCTTTATTAGATTTGACTTGGAAGTATGTGATAATGAATTATAGCTGGGGTATTGTCTAGGTTATTTGTTTTCTATGTCTAGCAGGGATTTAAATAGCGGTTGCAGTCGCGTTTTCGGTTGATTTTCTTATCAGTGAGTGCTATTGTTAGCTTCTCCCATTCGGTTTATTGCCGTTCTTTTTTTATTTGTCAATTTAGTTGTAAAGTCCTTATAGTAATATTAATTTGTCAATTTAGTTGTAAAGTCATGCCTTTGCCCTGGCATGGATTAGTAGAAAAGAATATGACTGTTATTCTTCTGGTTGCTTTTCACAATCAAATAGAGAAATTCAGTAGTGTTGAAGTTTTTTCTTTTTCCCTTTATTGCTTCTATTCAGTTTTCTTTTGCTGCTGGGTTCTGGTATACAATAGATGGTCATTAAACTGTCTCCGGCATTTTTGGTTTCTTTTTCTTCTCATTTCATTTATGTTTACTTTGAAAATGGTGCTTTCGTCTGATACAAATCATCTTATGTTTTAAGCCCGTTGTTTGTGACATGGAAGAAGGTTGTGAACGGCGGGGAGGCTCGTCTACGAGGATGTATCGGCACACTTGAAGCTTGCCAGCTGATTAACGGATTTAGGGACTATGCTCTGACAAGGTATTAAGACCAAAGTCCCCCCCCCCTCTCACTCTCTGTTTGTATGTGTGCACTCCCCATGTATTTGAGGTATCTAGTATGAGTTTATGACAATATGTACTGTGAGCTCATCCTTATAACTCTTTTATTTTTTGTATTTTAAATAAAATTCATTATGTTTCCTAACCCTGATTCATAAGTGGTATATCTAAGAAAGAAAATGATTAACCTAATACGAAGCAAATATTTGGAAAGTGCATTCTAAACAGAGGGGCATTTTGGATAGAACTAAAAGAAAAGGAAAAAAGATGGAAGGAATGAGAATGCTTTATAAAAATTAAGTTATTGGACATTGTAGATTTGCTGTATCCGTAGATTGATTAGTCCTATTTAATACCAGAATTAGGTTGTTAGCATTTTTCTATAATTAATATGTTCAGTTATTGAACTTGATAGAATTAAAGTCGGGCAAGTTACATGGAAGAATAGTGGTTTTTAACCTCTAGCCAGAAGGGTTGTTATAAAAGAAATGGTCTTACCAAGGGAAGCCACTTTCATTGATTAGTAAAGGTCAATTGTGAAATTTTTAGTGCTTTTTAGACTAGAGAACGTGGTCGGACAAACGGCACTGTTTTGATTTAATGTCTTGCTTCCAGTCAACTAAGCCTGATTTTCATGTAGTTCTTGTTATGATGGTAAAACAGTTCAGCAGAGGGTAGAAGTCCTGAGAGCAGCTGCTTCACCTAAAATTAATAGGGCATGATATTTGAATTCCAGTGGCACTTTTTTCACTGGGTAGAATTACTCTAAATAAATTAAGAAACCTTGAATGCCAATAATACTTTCCACCATTACGGTTCTTTCCTACATTGCAATATCCAACCACTTTAGTGTTGTAATAGAATATGCATCATGATCTCTAAAGTAAGGCCCCTTCATGGTTTAGGCCATTACAACTATTTGTACTTCTGTTTGGCTTGTAACCACATGATTTTGGTCCTTTCAAAATTGTTTTTACTCTATGGCTTGTATAAGCTACAAGTTTTTAATCATTTCATTGTGTTGCTACTTGGGCATGCTTCATATTTTCTCATGGCATGCCTTGTGATATGTTCTAATATCTGTTGTTTGCAGTGCCTTGAGAGACCGCAGGTTCCCCCCCATACAAGCTAAAGAACTGCCTTATTTAGAATGTACAGTTTCTATTCTAACTGATTATGAAACAGCTAATAACTATCTTGATTGGGAGGTAAGTAATTCATCTCAATTTGGATCTTTTAACATCTGATCAAGTAATACACTGTAACATGCACTACCTGAATGTATTGGTTGATCAAATAATTCCCAGTTTTGGATATCCTGATTGGATACGGCCGTACCTTTTTCTGAATGTATTGGTGCAAATTTTTTCTCTGTATTGAATTTCTTCTGTTTCTCTTTTGATGTGTCTCCCTAATTCTTTCTGTACTTTTGATATTTCTTCCGCAAATATTCGTTAATTTTTCTTTCAGGTTGGAAAGCATGGCCTAATTATTGAGTTTGTTGATGATTATAATACAAGGCGAAGTGCTACTTACTTACCTGATGTGCCGGCACATGAAGGTAGACTTTGTTGAGTTTTTTATGTCTAATGCGGTTACTGGTTATATGATATGATGTGATGCGGAGACCTTTCTTCTTTCTCCTCTTTTATGTGATATGCACACACACTCACTCGCGTCTCTGCATGTGTATGTCTAGTTACAAATATTGCAAAAAATTTAGATTGAAAAGTTTGGTCTGTGCGGAACTTTTATGGCATAATGACAAAAAATGTCCTAATAAGATAGTTTGCAACGAACCAAGTTTTCTGCGCAAATTCTCATGTGGTTTGGTGCATTTATATTTGCTTTCAGGTTGGACTAAGGTGGAGGCAATTGACTCACTTGTCCGAAAGACAGGGCTCAGTGGCCCCATCACCGAGTCGCTCATGAAGCGTATAAAACTGACACGCTACCAGAGCTCATTATTTACTATGAACTACGTTGACTATGTCTCCTATATGAAGGCAACCAGAGGTGCCGGTGCCAAGGTCGGAAATCAATGATTCTTCCAACAGCTTTTGCCGAAAAAGGGTAAAGCTGCTTTGGCTAAATTACAAGGACATGATATCAAACAAAAGAAAGAAAAAAAAAGGGTTGAATAGGGTTGATTGTGCTCCAACCCAGTTGTATGTGTAATTATAAATAACATTTCTTCAAATTCATTTGATTTTGAAGAAATAAACCAAGCATGTCTGATGCAAAGTCAGGCATACAAGTTGTCTTTGGAAACCTGTTTGATGTAAGACAGATCTCAATGTGACCTGAAATGGGAAGTATGTTTGTTCACAACACAACATTATTATCGTTTTTTTATTTGAATTTAATTATGTAATTTTATATTATGTTATATGGATTTGGGTGTGAGCGTAGAATATATGTTTTGACGCTACTTAGGTAATTTGATTATTAGTTTGATTATAAATGGAATTTTTAATAACAAAATTATCATTTAATTAAATTATTATTATAAATGGATTATTTGCCTTGAAAATCGGACTAGCATACCTCTACGCGTATATACATCTAGATTTGCTTACGGGTCGTGTGGCAGTCTAATTTCAACATATTTCGTGCAAACCAAATCCAATTTTAGAATGTTTGTCTAGAGTTGAATTCGGTTCGTCTTTGTGAGCTTGTTTTAGTCCTTATTCATTTATAAATTAAGTAAAACATTTATTTTTTATTTTTATTATTATGTTAAAGATATAATAATTTTTATTAACTAAGTTGAATTCGAGATGTTTCGGTTTAAAATAAAATAAGAAAATTATTGCTCTAGTGGATCCTGTTGGGTAAGTACTTACGGGTTTGTTTTTGAGAATTTAGTGGTTTGAGACATACATATGAATTATACTTCAAATAATAAATATCGGAAAAATTAAATTGTAAGAATAAGTAAAAATAAATAAATTTGTTTATAAGTTGTTTTCTTTATCATGTTTAATATATTATTTAATAAATACATTAAGTCTTAAATAAAATAATAATAAGAAATTTTATTAAACACACAACTTTCTCTTTTAAGAGGATCCGAGTTCGATTTCTACCTTCTCTATCTTATAAAAAACTAATTAAATGAAAAGTGAAAAATAATTTAAAATATTACATCAGCATCATTATTAATCTTTTAATGGTGGGTAATTAAAAAATAAATAAATGTAACATTAAATATATTTTTTAAAATAATTAGATGATCAAAATAAAAATATAATAATAAATGAGCGATTAAATAAATGATTTATCTTTATTTAATTATATATGAACTTCATAATTTTGGGTCTTAAGCAGGAGGGTGCCCTAAATAGGCAACCCTCTTGCCCAGACTCAATTACACACCTGAGTACTTTTGTGTATAAACTTGTTCATGGATATTAGATTAATATACAATATTTATTTAAGTAAAATTATGTTCGAAATATATATTTAAAATCTTATATAACTCATTCATATTTACAAATAATTATCTTAATTCCGTTTTTAATAGTACGAACCAAACGACCTCAATGGTTAAAGAGATGATTATTATTCCTAGAGTCTCAGGTTTGAGCACTAGATATCACTGGTGGAGCCAACTTATTAACGCCCCAAAATTTTTTGAATTTTTTTTATAAATTTAATATAAAAATATTTTAAAATAAAATAAATATATATTTTTTTAAAATATCGATACCGTTATATATAAATTAACACACAATATTCATTTTCATCCACTTAAAAAAATTCTGTATACAATTTCTAATTTTGACATCCTAAAATAAATTTTATCTAAATTTGACACCCAAAAATAAATTTTATAGCTCCGCTCTTGCCAGAGACTACAAGAGTGATTGAGCTTTCATTGTCAAATAATTAAAAATCTTTAGAATATATACTACCTTATAAACATCTTAGATTAATAAATTTATAAAACGGATTGAGCCTAGAATATTGAAGTCTAGATATGCGCAATATTCTATATAGGTCTAAGTTTTGAGATTGGATAAGTAGTCCGATCTTTGAATATGGTCTACTTGGGTTACCCATAAAAAAATAACTGTTTTCGATATATACTTCAAGAACGGCTAATTTTTAAGGGGAATTATTACGTGCGGTATCTGTAATATACGGTTTAAAAAAATATTATCAGTTTTGTTATTAATTAAATAATAAAATTGGTAAAAAAAATATTAGAAGCATTATTATTTTTACAAAACACTACCAGTTTTGTTATTGTTGGACACTTTACCGGAACTGTTAAAAAACATTGATATTTTAGATATAAATAATAATGTTTTAGGTAATTTTTTACCGATTTTTATTTAATAATAACAAAACCGATAACGCCTTTTTTAGTTGTATATTAATCGCATTGTAGAACTTCCCATTTTTAAGGAATATTTGATTGAAAAAATATAAAATTATTTATGTAAATAAAATTATTGAAATATAATATTACTTAGTACAATTCTGAAACTGTTTTATTAATTTGTTTGGTTATTTGATATAAAATTGTATTATATAAAATACGTTATCATTTAAAAATGCATTTTAAATTATCATTGCGATAAATTTTTAACAATTAAAATATATTATATTTTATTATATTTTAAACTATTAAAGAATATATATTTTAACACTATAAAAATTAAAATCTTAAATATTATATATATGCATAAGTGTAAATTAATAATTTATATTGGATTGAGTCGTGTCAATGATTTTTCACCTTAAATTTTATCCCATCTAGTTCCGAAGTTATCTATTATATAGCCCGCCCCGCTTCGAATCTGATTTAAAAAAAAATACCCATATAGGCCCAGATCAAGACTCATCAGATTCAAGTATTTTGACCATCCCTAGTCGTTACAACACATGCACCTAAAAGTACAAAGTCGGAAACATTACACATATTTTCTTAGCGAAAAATTCTTTAGACACCTAAAGTTAAATTAGGGTATAGTTTGGGCATTGATTTTTACACTAAGCCAAAATATAAACATGACATGTGTCACTTAACGATTTTTTAACGATCGTTATTGCGTAGTTACCTAAAAGTGTAATAGACAAAATGGTTGGCACCTTAAAGTGTAATCGAAACAATGTTAGACACCTAAAAGCATAACGGAGAAAATGTTAGACACTTATTTTTAGGGGTGTTCAAAATTCGGTTTTAACTGAATTAACCGACCGAATCGAATTAGTTCGGTTAATTCAATCGGGGAACGGTTAATTTTTTTTTTAATTCGGTTAACGGTTAATTCGGTTCAAAATCTGTTAATTAACCGAATTAACCTTTAAATATTAAATATATTATATATAACATATGGCTCAGCCCAAACTATTTAAAACCCAATTAATAATTTAAGATCTAATAACTTTTAAACCTAAATCAATTTAATTAATTAAAAAAATCCATATAAAATTTGTATTTTATAATTATATATTATTTAAATTAATTGTAAATTGTTTTTTAATTAAAAAATATTCAATTTTAATATAATTTAGAAAAATTTTAAAATTTTCGGTTAATTCGAAAATTTATCTAATTAACCTAAATTTATTCGATCCGGTTAATATTTTCAAAAAAAAGTTCGGTTCGGTTAACAGTTAAAGAAAAAAAGTTCGGTTAATGGTAATTCGGTTCGATCGGCCACCGTTTTAACTGAATGAACACCCCTACTTATTTTTAACGAAAATTTTTTAGACACCTAAAGTTAACGTAGAGTATAATTTGGACACTTATTTTTGCATTAAGCCTATTATTAATATAATTAATATACTCTAATGTTTATTTATGTCATATTTTATATTATTAAATTTATATAAGAATAAATTGTAAAATAATTATCATTATGAACAAAGTATATCAAACAAACTAATAAAACTTATAATTAGATATTTTTTTAAAAAAAGATTATCGTTATTATGTTTTAAGTAAAATGAGCAATTTTTGTAAACATAAAAGTGCTTTTAACAAAAAAAAAACACATTAGCTATCAAATTAGAAAACAATCAAACATTAGGGGTCAAAAAGAGCATTAACCCTAAAAGAAGCTTCGCCACGTCCTTGACAATATCACCCCGACTCCTTTCAGCGTAATAACCCAAAATACATTCCAACTTGTTTCAGGTAAGCTTCTCTCGATCGTCCAACTTCCTTTCTTTGATTTTCTTGGCAATTATTTTCATCTCATCTTCTTTTCTTAATTATCAAAATATTTGATTAGATCTACTATGTCTTTTATTTTCAGTCTTTAATCTTCTTTGGGTACCATTATTTTAGGGGGTAAAGTAGAGAGATTTGTAGTTACATAAAAAGGAAAAAACCCATCTTTTTGAAATTTAGCATAGATAGATTGCTTCTTCGATTTTCCCTTTGAGATTCTGTTGGGAGTTTAATTAATCATTAGGGTTTAGTTCTTGAGTTTCTAAGATCTGCTTAAGAAAAGGGCATTTCCCTCTTTAATGTAGTGATATATCTTTGTTGCAGCTTACCATATTTAGCCATGAATTAGTTGTATCAAAATTTGGGGAAAGTTAATTTGTCTATTTGTTTAGTTATGTTGGAATCTCAGTGGTTTCATTCAGTTTCAGTTGCATTTATCATTTTTAAAGTGAACTTAAGCTTCACTGGAACAGTCTTTGTTTTTTTTTTTGGTTTGACTTTTGTTTCTTTGTTTTCGGGGAAAGAAGCATAATTTTGTTGTAATGTTCATAAATGCCTGGTTAAGTTAATGGTGATCTGCAGATCTTGATACTTTGGGAAATGAATCAAAAAGGCTTGATTTATAGTTTTGTTGCGAAAGGAACTGTTGTTTTAGCAGAGCACACATCATATTCTGGGAACTTTAGTACCATTGCTGTTCAATGTTTACAGAAGCTTCCTTCAAATAGCAGCAAGTTCACATATTCTTGTGATGGTCACACATTTAACTTCCTCGTTGACAATGGATTTGGTACTATTTTCTTGTTATCTCTTGATGTTGGTCAATTTTTTATATTAGAATATGCGGTTGATGGTGTTTGTTTCCACTTGCAGTGTTTCTTGTTGTTGCAGATGAATCAGTTGGCAGGAGTGTGCCTTTTGTTTTTCTTGAGAGAGTGC